TTGCTTTCGAGCTGCTGGGTTGGCAGAAGCTAGGGATGAGACAGGAGCTTACTCTGCCGCATGGAGCTGGGCTTGAACCGCTGAAGTGTCGACCATTTCTGGCCAGTAACTTCCAGCGTCGTTAAGCCCCTGCGCCACTGCATCCCCCATTAGACAAATAATAAAATGCAAATAAAATAGTAGCCTTACAGCTAATTTGACGTGAAGTAGTTGCATGCAAAATTCACTTTCCAGAGAACACCGGATTGTTGCATTTTTTCTTTTGGAGCCTGTTGATCTTACAGTGCCAGGGTTGTTTTGATAGTTACAGTTAGGGAAACAGGGAGTAGTTTGTGATGTCTTAGAGGTGGTCTGGCTCCACTGAGTTTTATAAATCACCACTGGAAAGGGTGCAGGTGACAATCAGAAGTTGGGAATAAAGTTTATTTTTCCCATCTCCAGATGTTCCTATTTACCTTGAAAAGAGCAGTTGCAAGAATTTGGCAGCCTTGTTCTGGCTTTCTTTAATGCATTTCTATAATTAAAAATTGCACATGTGGAAAATGCAGATTTCAAGAAAATTCATGAAGAGGAGGGTCCATTTAAACATATAACATTTTTCAGTCAGTTGGGGGAAGATCACTGATTGATCAGGATCAATATAAACAAGTTGAAAAGTGACCTTTATTTTAATAACTTCAAAATGTGACATGCAGTGCACAGTCTGTGTAAAAAAGGCCCTCAAGAGGCATATTTTTCATTTTCTCCACAGAAGTATACCCAGCACAGAGTTCTCAATTGGTAAGGGTGATTAGCGCATCCACTACATTGCCCATGTGTTCTCGTAAGCTGCGTTCTGCTGCCGCCCTAGATATCTCCATCTCATTCATCTATAAAGAAAAAGAAATGAGAAGGTAACTCTTGGCCAATGCAAGTTGGAAGTATCCAGGCAAACCTTTCTGTGACATCAAATACCTCTCTATTAAAATCAAGCCAACTTGTTACCTTGGTGCTAGACTTACAATCAATTCCAGATCCTCCTTCTTGATGGTGACTTTTGCCAGTTCTTTTTCTCTAAAACAAGGAGAGATGGTTCAGGATTATATTCATCCTGACAACAGTACAGTTCTTATGTCCACTCTTTCTCTTAAAAGTATGCCAGATGGAACATAACAGAAATAATACTGCCTATAGAATAGAACCCTAAAAAGCCCAGGATGGGTTTTCCAACAGCGAAAAATAGTAAGCTGGTATCAGACATCAAAATGGATGGAATTTATTTCAGCTATGGCAAATAAGCCTCAAACCACAAGAGCAAATCAGTATTTAATGCCAAGTTCATTTCTAATGAATTTTAAATAAGCAAACTTTTCTAAAAGGGAAGCTGTACGATAATTTAGTAAAGTAGGGATACAGAAAACATCCCATCCCAAAGAACTGCAGGGCATGCCATTCTTCTTGACCATGCCAACCAGGACAGGCAGATTGGTGTGGAATGGTAGGTTTTGCACTTGCCTAGTAAACAATATTCCACTTCATTTTGTTCACTACCACCTCCAAGCGCACAGCCATAATTTCCACCTAGCAGAATCAGTTGAATTATGTAGTTTTATACCTATAAGCCCCAGACTGTTCTTTGGGAGCAGGAGATTGGAACAGTGAAGCACTCACCGCTCCTGCTTTGCTTTCTGCTCTCTAGACCTTCGGTCTCCTATCACTGACATGGCCTAGGAAAATCAAAGCAAAAGGAAAGCTTACGAATCTGGAAAAAAATGTATATATAAAAACAGCTTATGCAGCAGGCATTGTAGGGTTGGGGCTTCAGAAAGTTTCACCTCATGAAAAGCTTTTAAAACGGCTTCGAGCATTTCCGGTTGCTTTTCAGCAGCTCTTCATTGTGGAGCTACTTGAAACTGCAGAAGTGTGGCATTATGTAAATCTCCATGTGCAGTAGAAGTTCCAGCTGTTTTCACCAGTAAATCAGTCAGGAAATAAAGCAAGGTCATTTTATTCTGCAGGATTCTTGTATAAGTGGTGTACTCCCTAGGCAAAGCTTTACAGGAGGGAACTCAAAAAATCAATCTGATTTCTCAGATGAATCAGAAAAGTCAGATTTGTCAAGGTAGTAAAACCCCAAATTCCAGACAAAGATCCCTGAGGCAACAGCATAACACCTAAAACTTGTCCTTACTTGGCAGCAGGAGTCTAAAATATGTGCTGTAAGGATTTAAGTTGGCTAAAATATTTCCTGCTTTTAGTAAGACAGAAGGTTGCAGATTAGGTGATAACTATGACAGATTGTGACTTGGAATTTACTTATTTAGAAAAAAAACCAGGTTTGTCTAAATAAATAATAATAAATTTCTAAATAATTATAAATTAAAGAGGAGTAAATGGCAAAGATCATGAATTAAGTCTATTAAAAATACATAGGTCGTGTACCTGAAACTAAGAGGACGGGCGTAGATACAGAGAAGTGAAGGTTTAGGCTTAATTATGGGATAAATTGTACGTCAGGAAGCATGAACTGGTGTCATCTACATTGCTGTGGGCGCTCATAAAAACAGTGACATAGTTACCTTCTAGCAAATGGAGATAACGGAAAAACTGGAAATTAATTTGGGGGAAACTAATCTTCCGCAAGAACGCAGTCCAGGAAAAAAGCATTTGTTAGTAGCGCGAGCCGTTGGGTGGGAAGGAGAGCGTGGCTGGGCCGTTCCAAGACAAAAGGCGGGATTAACACGTGCACAGCCGCGCCCGGCACGAACGCAGTTTCCGCGCACGCGCTGAGCAACTTTCGCCCGGGGGGTCCCAGCAGGTCATTTCAGGCGGCCTTGGCCGTGGGCAGGGAGAGCGAGGGAGCGCGGGGCCCTTCCTCCC